TGGTGTCGTGTTGAGTCTTCGTTACTGGAATCGCGGTGTTGAAGTCGTGTCGTTCTTAGATCGTCGTTGGAGCCTTTCGGAGTCGCCATTATTGGAGCCATTGTTACTGGAGTCGGAATGTAGTTACGTTACTGAAGTGCTGTTAGTGGAATGGAATCGCGTTACTGGAGTACTGTTAGTGGAATGGAGTCACGTTACTAGAGTCGTTGTTAGTAAAATTAAGTCGCGTTTACTGTTTTTGGCTATAGTATTGCCGTTACAAGAGTTGTTACTGGTGGTTTCTCTTGTCTATGGCGTGATTAACTGATTTTTTTTTTAGGTAGCTAGTCATCGTTTATGGAACCGTCGGTTCTGGTATTTTGCTTGTTGATCCTTGTTGGTCTGATTCGTCGATTTGTAGTGTTGGTATCCGCAGCATCTTCTTAAGTATCATTGCTGAAGTTTCAGTATTTGGCCTTGTTAGTCTTCGTTGGTGTGTATTCATTACTTCGGCATTGTTTTTGGTGAGGTTGTTTTTTTTAACGTTTTCATTACTGGAATCGTGTTTTTGGTTTTTCTGTTGCTAGTATTGCCATTACAAGATTTTTTTACTAGTGATTTTTCTTGTCTGTGGCAGAACTAACTGAATTTTTTTTTTTAGATAGCTAATAGAGCTATAGTTTTTGGTATTTTGTTACACCGTTGTCAATGTCGCTATTGGTAAGCCGTGGTTGAATCATTATTAGTTTTAACGTGTGTCGGGTTATTATTATATGTTGCGTTATGATTTTGATGGTTATTAGTAAGCCGTGGTTGAATCGTTATTAGTTTCATTATATGTCGGATTAAAGTTGGTTAATGGTTAGGGTTAGGTAGGGTTAGTTAGTTAGCGGTTAGGGTTAGGTAGGGTTAGGTAGGGTTAGTTAGTTAGAGGTTAGAGTTAGTAGGGTTAGTTAGTTAATAGTTAGGGTTAGGAGGGTGATTAGGATAAATACTGTATTTTCGCGAAAAATGCGTAGGGTGTTATTTTGAATTTTGGCCCAAATTAAGCTTAATTCGGGCTAAATTTAGTATTTCGCGAAAATACGGTATGTAAAAATATTAATTAAAATTAATAAAATTTAAATATACTTACATTTTGATTGGCTATTTATGTGTCATGTAACCCGTGACAAAAGTGTTATATAACGGGGAGTAACAAATAAATTTATTCTTTAAATTAAATAAATATTTAATAGTATATTACTCACTATATTTCTTTCCAGTCTTTTTTTCGTAACAACATCATCTATCGCTAACTTATCAAAATTATGATTTAATATAATTTGGCATACGGTCAATATGTATGCCAACTAATTGTTATTTGGCATAATAGTTGACCAAACTTTTTCCAAAATTCGGTCGAAGCAGGTATCTTCTGAATTATCTGAAAATGGCCTCAAAAGCATCTTATATGCTCTGTCCGTTTTAGATAATTTCTTCCAATTCTTCATTTGAGAGGGAGTTGCTTTTGTTGTAATATGATCTAATAAAGTCTCACTATAAACTGAAAAAATCGCATTTTTGATAAATGTTGTTAGTTGACTTCTACAAGAACGATGTGCTGCTAAAAGCTAATAAAAATTTTGTAATAAATTAAATTAGTGCGAATTAGTTCAAATTAAATTGAGAATGAATATCAATAATTAACATTTTTAAAAAATAATAGTAATGATAAAAAGAAATATAAAAATCATTTAAACAAGAATAGAATATATAGAAAAATATTAAGTATAATTAAATTTATGCAAAATAAATCGAATTAGTTAAGAAAATAAAAATACAAATTTAACAAAATAATGAAAGATTATAATAAACTATAGAGCAATAATTTAAA